CTAATTTTGTCTACTGCAAAACAGATGCATCTTTCTCCCTCTGACTATCCCTTTCCCTTTGATTCTTTGGCTCTAGCCTGAGGACATGGAGGAGTCTTCTCTGTTGAATCAGTAGAGCAAGACTCAAAGCCTTGAAAACAAAATTAAACAGACTGCTGCACACAAACAAAATGCTTTCATGTCACGACCACACAGAATCTGAGAGGAACAGAGCAACATCGCTGCTTTGGATTTATGAAAGCTGCCTGTCACCTATCCACCATTAATACTACTGCTTCCAGTGAGTTTCCCTCTAATGTAAAAGTATGTCTTTGCTGTCAATTCTACTTTTTACTTGCCTGATTCAACCTCCCTGCCTATTGACACTTAAGCCTGTAAGATAAGGAGTCTGGTAGCTGAACGCAAGTCAAACCAGTACAGTGATGTTATATGGAGGCTACAAGAGGCCATCAGTTGTTTAATTCTTTTTTCCCTATTATCTTGAGACCATAATTAATTTTTTTCCATTATTTCAGGATAACAAATACATTTTCTCATGACTTTGGGTTCATTATCTCACTATCAGGAGGGAGCAAGTTATTTTTTTCTTGAGATGACAGGATCATTTACGCACTGTCATGACAAAACAACTTTGTTATTCTAACAGCAATGTAATTGAAGGTTCGCTATTGCAGAAAATGAGATTATACAATAGATAGATAGATAGATAGATAGATAGATAGATAGATAGATAGATAGATAGATAGATAGATAGATAGATGTCCCCTAGGGGACATTCATGTGTCCATTAGTTCATTGTTCATAATAATAATAATAATAATAATAATAATAATAATAATAATAATAATAATAAAAACAGTTAATAATAAATAAACAATAATAATTATATTATTCCACTTCCTTTGGCTTAGGTGTTGTATAGCCTGATGGCAGTGGGAACAAAGGATCTCCTGAACCTCTCTGTTCTGCAGTGCAGTGAGATAGGTTTACCTATGAATACTGTGAAAGTATTGTCACATCCTTTTTAACAACTTTTTAACCCTCTTGCCTTTTGTACATGCATATTAACATGAGCAGCAAGAGAAGCTTACCTAACCTTTCGAAATGGTCCATCCCATGAATAAAACACTATTGCCTTGAAATGAGTGATGGTGAAGAACAATGAAGAACTGGGCCACAGTTGGTTGTATAGTAAGTGTGAAAGATAGGCTCTGTAATTATTTTTTTTGTTTTTTTCACTTTCTCTTGTATTTTTTATACATCACTGTTGTTAATTTTTCGCTTCTTGTTTTTCATAATCTTTTAAAGTAGGAAAAAATATTTATATATTTTAAGCAAAGCTACTTATTGCTGTGAACTTGAAAAAAGTGAAAAATTGAAAATACATGTGTTTGAAGTTAGAAAAAGTAACAATACCTCAGGGTAAACTGAGTGTTTATGGAGAAATCTGGACTCAATTTAATCTTTGTTCAAAATACAGTGATGTTTGGAATGAAGATCTGGGTCATAGTTGGATATAGAGTAAATGTAATAGTATCTTATAAGTGTGAAATATTTTGTAATGAATTCTTTGTTTGGAGTTTATTTGTTTGTTTTTTCACTTTTCCTTGTATTTTTATATGTCAGTGTTGTTGATTTTTTTTCTTCTTGTTTTTCATAATTAGGTAAAAGTATGGACAAAGAGAGAGAAGCTGGAATTCTGCTTTTTATGGTCAGAGATACGGCACTGTGCAAATGTTATGGCACTTCACATGTTTAGATTTTTATCCAACATGCAAGAGCATCTGGGAGGTATCTGATCTGTCCCAAATTCATTCTGCAGTATGAGACAATGACCCCAAACATACAGCCAGAGTCATAAAAACTACCTACAGACACAAGAAGAACAAAGAGTCCTGTAAATAATACAAAAAAAAAAAAATACAATGGCTGGTTATACTTGATTTCATATTCTATATTGGAGTGATGGTCTGAAGTAAACTGAATACATTTTCAGAACATTGTCAGAACAGCATACAGTGATGTACTGGTTGAAGAAAAACTGACCTGAGTGCATTAACTACAGTAATCATACCTTTGCAAGTGTCAAGGCGACTGTCAACCTGTGAGTCAGAATAGTATGTTAACTGTTCTAACTGGAAGGCAGCAGCCCATAGTGACAAAACTTTATTTGAAAAAATCTCAAGCACTCTCTAAAGCTTTATGTCTATTTAAATAAGATGAACCACGTTTACTGAGTCTGTATTCATAGAGAAATAGTTTTTGTCCAGATGTGCTTCACAATCACAAAATCTTGCTTGAATTTTTCCCCTCTGTGCTCAAAGTTAAAAAGGGGCATGTGGAACAAGACTTTAAAACACAACATGAATCAACATGATTTATAGCATAACCTGATGAAATTTAACAAACCGCATTATTGTATATAATTGATTATCACCACAGACACTTAAGAAAGCCCTGTATTGAGCTGCCATTACCACCTGTATCCTCTCATTTGTGATGTATGAACCGGCTGAACATATACTGAACTGACTTACTAAATACTGTATACTCACTAACCCTGCAATTAATAAAGCACTGATATTTGTGCAATATTGTTTGAATAAAAAGTGATATTGGTGACATTTCTGATACATCCAGTGATACGTCTTCATCTACTGTTCTAGATGGAGCATTTTCCAATACTGTTCTAACAAACCATTTTGACTATAGTGCTATTATAGACCTCTAATCAAGGCACCAGGTAGGACAATAAAGAACCAGTACCTGACACTGGGTAGAACTGTATGGTTCTAGTAAAATCACCCAACATTTGTTCTCACTCAACTCTGTCTCATTCCCTGTCAAAGAGTTTGTCACCTCCAAAGACAGCCAAGTATGTGCAGCAAAGTATCATCTGGGTTTCAGTGACCTCCTCCTTGCTTCTGTTTTCATGTTATATGAACAATCAAGAAATTTCTTTGCTCTCATTGTGAAGCTTTAAAGTGAGCTCTGAAATATGAAATACTGTAGATATGAGTCATGGAGGTTTTCTGTTTTTTAATAGGGACACATCTTCGAAGGCTTTTAAGCTGCCTGTGTCCAAGGGGGTGAGACAAATACCTGTCTGCAATTTATGGAAATTGAGGCAAATGTATGCATAAGTATCTTTGAATAAAACCTTTACTATCTTCTAGCTTATCAGATAGCTAACCCTGCACCCAGTGGAGAAAAAAAAAACTATACTATATACTATATTATTTGGTCTCTGCTCACTTTTTTGTTGCAGCTGATATCTACTAAGAATCTGTGTGGAAAAGAAACAAAACTTACAAGAACACAACTATTGCTTTCTTGCGCAGGCAGGTGCCAGCCCTCAAAAAAGTTATGTTACCACCTTAAGCACCCCTGCTGAATGTTTTTCTATTGCACTCAACAACAAAATTTGTGTGTGGTGCCTTCTCTTTCTGTCTCTATACTGCATAACCCTGCTCTGGCTAATGGCATGCACAGATTAAGAAGTCTTGCAGCGTAATAGTTTAGAAACAATTTCCATGCTGAAAACAAGAATGATATCTTAACAAAAATTAAGAACTCAAGTGCTTTGCTTTGCAGTAAGGTTCAAAGTAAGGTTAATTGCCCTCTTCTGATGCATTTTAAAGAAACATTTCCTTTCATCGTGGATCTATGAATCCAGCACAGAGGGTGGCAGATAAAAGAGAGACCACATCTATGGTATATTAACACCATACATACTAACACTGAAAACTAGCACATAAATACAGAATCATGTTTAAGGTCTTACTTAGAAATGGGCAGAAATATCCCCCTCTCCTTACCATACAGTCACAGACTGCAGGGAAGATGAATGGAAGCTAAATTCTCTCCTCATGTCATCTGGTGGACAAAAGAAAATCTGGCACCATTAAGTTACCTGACTTCAAGTAGTTAGTTGAAGTAAAATGTTAAAAGCACATTTTGGACATTTTTTTTTTTTTAAATGTAATGAAAGCTAAAAAAAAATGAATTAACAAAACAAGAGGCTTGTCCATACACCAGTGGTGGAAGAAATGCTCCTCTTCTAATGACACACTGTTTCATTTGGTTTCTTTATTTATGCATATAAAAATTCAAAAGGTACAGCATGTAATTTGCAAGTGAATGTGAAGTAGACTTGCCTGAAAAACCATCGAGGGGCTTGAAAAATGGCATTCACCAGGAAATAAATAATGTAGATTGCACAATCTGTTAACCATTAAAGTGCTGCATTGAAAGTTTTATTAAAATAAAAGAACAAAAGTATTAGCATCAAAATAAATTTAAAGTACTAATTATGGAAAATGATCAGTTCCAAAATAATGTATATTATCTTTTTTTGGATTATAGTTATTGATGCATTAATGTGTTCATTATTTATTTATTTGTTTCTTTTCAACATAAAACTGCAACATAACAAAATGTGAAAAATTGAAGGGGTCTGAACACTTTCTGAATGCATTCTATCATGTCTTAATTGGTAGGGAAAAAAATTACTTTCTTTTAGAAATGCAAAACATCATTCAACATTCATTTGACATGCAAATATCAGATTTACAGTGGAGGAAAGCACATATTGAAATTGAAATGTTTTGAATCCAATGATTAAAAGTACTCTTCAAGATATTAAAATCCAGTAAGAGATGTTTTCTACTACATATTGTTATTTCTTTTTTAAGATAATAGGATTTTTCCCCTCCAGATGTACGCTTAACATAGCATCGTATCGGTAACATTTGCTGGGATACTGACCCACAATGAGACATTTCTGGTTTGGATAAATATCTATCATTAACCATGAGATATCTTTTCTCAATATTTATTTATTTATTTATTTATTATTTTATTTATTTATTTATTATGTTTGTTGCTGTGGCGATTCCCTGTGACGACACCGTTTGGAACAGACGTCATAGGGTACACCATCAGCCAATCACATTGCAGTAAAAGTATAAAAAACAGTACTACACTACACATCTCTTCTGCGCAGACTCACACACAGAGGAAGAGCCAGTACTCGCGTCCACGGAGGATTTCAACTCTCCTTAAAAAGGTGAAAAAAATACCACTCTTTTGAATCACTTGTAGTGTTCTCAATGGTCACAAGTGTAGATAACCTCTCTATTGTTCACTGTCTGTTTGTAGAATATCACCGCTGCTTCACGACTATTTTTCTGCGTTGTACTTTTGATGTTATGCTAACCGGCGACAGTTAGCTAATCTAGCTAACGTTACCAAGTAGTAGTTAGCTCGACACCTTCCTCTGAAGCTAACGTCAGCTTTTGTGCCATTAAGCACCTCCGGCTCCCTTTGTATCTTTCTTATCACATTCAGACATCCACGCTCCGAAAGCCTTTTGTATTCCGGAAATTAACCACTTAAAATTCATATTCACTCATCAGAAATTATATCTGGCAGATTTGAATGACAAGTGAAGATTGCCTTCATTGAAAGGTTGTCTTTGCTAAACCTACTTAGTGAGCACTTAATTAGGAACACCATAGCAATTCCGGGTAGGGCCTCTCTTTGCTCTCTGAACAGCCTCAATTCTTAGTGGCATGGTTTCTACAAGATGTTGGAGACATTCCTCTGAGATTCTGGTCCATGTTGCCTCAGGGTTCGACGTGTTGTTCATTCTGAGATGCTTTTCTGTTCACCATTCCCCTCTGACCTCTCTCAAAGAACAAGCCATTTCAGGCTGTAGAATGACCAAAAAAATTGTTATCGATATCTATAGTGGCAGAGCAACACCCCTTAAATACTTCAACAAATTGAACTGCACAAATCTTAATTCTCTGATGTGTCTTAGTGGAAAAAGACAGATGTGATGTGTGTATGCCTATAATTAAGAGACTGAGGAATATATCAAGGCTTGCCCATTGCTGTTAGATACTGAGCTGTCTTTTTAGATTATTGTGTATCCCACAGTGGCAGTCCCTCAGTGCTTGAGAAAAAATTGAGCCAATGTGCTTGAGTTTTGCATATTCAGTTCTGAATATTCACTGCCTTGATAACTGAAAACTGTAGCCTCCTTCCAGTTACTCTGAGGATGAATATAAATGTCATACTATCTTCTTTTATTTGTGTATCTCCTTTTCATCAGCTCTTAGGAGCTCATCACCACCAGTAAAGCTGTATAAGCACCGGGTTGACGGGACCGAAGGAAGTGGCGCGTCGTACGGGGAGCTGCCTGCTGACATCGCCATGAGTTACAAACCCATTGCTCCTGCGCCATCTGGCTCCAACCACACTCCTCCAGGTACTCTGAGACCACTCAGCCTTAATGTTGTTCAAGCAATTATTGGCCAGTTGCTGTTTCTCCATGTTAAGGATTTAAAACATCTTACACCATGGTGATGGAAAATAATTATAAATCAGTGATAGCCCAGTCAATGTTGCAAGTAACCACACAACAGCATACAACAACAGTAGCTACAATACATTATCATGCTGTGATAATAGTTAAACTAGCTGATAGCTAAACCGAAGATACTCATGACGCAATTGGTTGTCTTCATATTGTATGTTATTTGTGATAAGTAGCCATGGTTTGCAAGTGGTAAAGATGTCTGAGGTGTGAAAAGTAAAAGTAATGTAAAAAGTAATGGCTATCAGTATCAGGGAGTATCAGGGAAACTTTTTGTGGTTTTTTTTGCTAATTCCTTTCCAAGATTAAATAAAATGTTTCAGATGGCAAGTTTCTTCTCATTCTGTTTTTCAAGTTCCAGCTATAGTGTGATATATCTGTCCCCCTTTTCTGTTCAGGCTCCTCTGTGCCCTCTCCATCTCTCCCCTCATCGTCCAACTTTAGGCCAGCTTTCAGTGACTTTGGCCCACCCTCCATGGGCTTTGTGCAGGTATGTTTGCAGTACAGTTATCCATACTGTTCTGGTGTCTTATACTTTGGAAATACCACATACAGACAGATGGGTGACAAATTAAAGTGAAAAACCAAGTGTCTTAGTAAGGTACTGGACCACAATGTGCTGCTAGAACAGCTTAAATGTGCCTTGGCATTAATTCTACAAGTCTCTGCACTCTACTTGAGGGATGAACACTATTCTTCTAAAAGATATTCCCTTGTTTGGTGTTTTGATGGTGGCGGTGGAGAGCGCTGTCTAACACATCAGTCCAAAATCCCTCATAGGTGTTCATTTGGGTTTAGATCTGGTGACTGTGAAAGCCATAGCATAATTTTCACATTATTCCACATCATTTTCATAGTCATCAAACCATTCAGTGACCCCTTGTGTCTTATGGATGGGGACATTGCATCTGGTTTCTCAACTCATTTTTCAGGTTTTCCCTTTGTCACCCATCTGTACATAAAAGTAAACCACTCTTCATAGTATTCTTTATGTGGTTTAAAAGGTAGAACTTGTTCTTGACATCATGGCTTTGTCAGACACTTTGTATAAAAGTCTGTACTAGAGTGGAAACTAAATGATACCTGCAAAGCATATTAACTGAAGATGTCTAAGAAAATTGCATATTAGCGTATAAAGTTCAAATGTTTCAAACAAATGTTCTGGCCATGGGTGGGCTGAACACACCTACAGCTGTTATTTTCAAACTGATCATTAATTGTGAACCACCTTTTATTTCTGAACTTAAGGTGGTTTTACGAGGGACCTTTCCTTCATTTGCAGCAGCACAGGACTTGTTAAATGTTAGGTGTTTCATACTTATGCACAGACCAACAAAGCCATTGTGTTCATTCTGTAACGTAGAAGAGCTGAGTTGAACTTGTTGCAACATTTAGATGTACAGGATCGAACAGAGAATCTGCTTCAGCTAACTTACCTGATTTTTAAAAAAAATTAAAGTACTTGTAGTAGCCAAACATGCATTTCTAACTATTGCTCTACATTTCCGCTGTACTCGTGAAGCACATTAAAGGTTGATAGTGCTGGAAGGCTGCAGGCATGTGACCTACATGGGAGTGCTGAGAATGTTGTTGGAATAATTTAAAACAGGGGAAAGGAGGAATAGATTTTGGTACAGCTCTGCAAGCATGGCAGTGTAAGAAGAATTAGATGGAAAGAGTTATGTTACTGTCTGTAAGGTAAATAATTTCATGAATATTGGAATGGTGATGGAGTTTTACATAGTATCATTTTGACTTAATCAGTGTCTTGAAGATAAAGATGCCCAGGCCCTGTGCTGAGTTACAGTTGTAGTTTACATCACACTATATTGTATTGGCAAGAGAAACAATTTTCGTTCATCTTTCTCTTCACCTGTGCTGTGACCTGTCTTAATGGATTTTTTTTCTCTCCCCCCACCCCCACCCCCACCCACAAAATGACATGTTTCTAAAAAAAAAATACACAAACAGCCTGTCAAAGTGTCTCAAGGGTCCACCTACAGTGAGCTTCTGTCTGTCATTGAAGAGATGAGCCGTGAGATCAGGCCTACATATGCTGGGAGCAAGAGTGCTATGGAGAGGCTAAAGAGAGGTATGTTTTACATTTCAAAAACGCATATCTGTTGTCAGCACAGGTAATGAGTTTTTTTTGTGTGTTGTGATTAGTACATCCAAGTGCTGAAGGGGGGAGAATATATATCTATTGTACTCCAGAAAGAGTGATTACCTTGGCCATTGACTTCTGGGAATAAAATCAGCCTCCTTTTTTGCTCTTTGGTGAAGGCAGGTCTGACACAGACTTTATTCTGTGTAGAATATGATTGTTATATAAAATATTTTTGCTTTTAGGTTTAAAAAAAAAAAAAAAAAAAAAAAAAAAAAAAAAAAAAAGTGAATGTGAATTTGAAATAATTCACCCCTAGCATTGTTTGTTAGGACAATAATCTGTCTATTTCGATATCTTTGTAGAGTTTTATTACAGTTTGTGAGGTGAGAGGTCCAACAGGGAATTAGACTTCTCTGGGGCTCTCAGTATAAAGGAAGACTTATATTTCTTTGCCTGTGGATCACTTTTTGGCAAACCCATAGAACATGTTCATGCACAAACCATATAACATGTAAAACATTAAATGTTTTAAGTTTGATGTATAGAATTAATGGACCGGTGTAATTGAAATAGAATCAAACATATTTTTGCCTTTTAACTCAACCTGCAGTTTTCTTGATTAAGGGCTGCCCTATTGCTACTTCAGCAGTAATGGCTGTCTTGGATAACTTAGATTTTTGTAGCTGAGGTGGACCCGGGCAGAAGATTTTGAAAATTGCAAATTATTTTTGCAGATCATCTCATTGATATAAAATTGTTGATTTAACACCTTGCACCTTCTGTTTGTCTTGTTCAGGTATAATCCATGCCCGTGCACTGGTCAGGGAGTGTCTTGCAGAGACGGAAAGAAGCGCCCGCACATAACCTTTTTGACAGATCCCTTCACCCCCCAATCTTTCCCTGTAGAAGCCTGCCCTCTTTATCGTCTGTTTTACAACCATTTTTTACCCCCCCACCTTCCCCTGTTTTGCCTGTTCCCTGCTGGCTTTTTATAGGTGCATTATGTCCTTCTTGTCTCTACTGTTCCCTGCATTCCACCACACCCATTTTTGTTAATCACAAACTTTCTGTGATGTGCGGGGTGTATGCAACTTGCAGTTTTGTATCTATTTTGAAATGAGTGTGGGGAATTTCAACACAATTTAAAGTAGAGTTGTGGGTAAAGACCTTGAATGGGAATGTTTAAAGTATTTGTTCAGTAATGGCAGTTGACATAAAAAAAAGTTTTTTTTTTTTTTTTTTTTTTTTTTTAAATGGTGAAATCAATGTTGAAACTGCACTTGTCTAAGTTTCTATTCTGAGCATCACTCTACAACCACTTAATATTTTCTGAGCATCTTAAACATACCCTGTTTCCATTCACCCTGGCTTTGTTTTCATCATTATTTTGTAGTGTTAAACACACACACATTAGATGTTTCTCAATCCCAAGAACTCTGTACATCTCAAGTCAATTTGTTAGTACGGAAATTTTGTAAACCAGATTTTTGCAGTTCGGTATGTATATCTTAATTAAATAACAGAAAAAAAGTACTTTTTTCATGTTTCATGTTCATTGTTGACTTTGAAAATAGTATTTTGACAAAAACTCCCAAGGTCCACCTACTGCAAATTTTACGGTGCATTAAGCTTATTGAGTAGACTCAGAATCAGAATCCAAAAAACTTTAATAATCCCTGCAGGGAAATTGCTTTGATACAGTTGTGAGGCACTCAGGTAGTATTCATCACCAAACCAAAGCCACAATAGGAGAGAGCTCTGAAAAGTTTACAGTAAGTTGACCTTGTGCTAGTATTTTGAGTCTTCTACACAGGATTACCTGTCTACAGTGCAAGAGGACACTGATTAGCCTTGTGTTTCAAAGTATCTGTCGGCTGGTGTCATGTTTAAAAATGCAAAGTTGGGGATAAACAAATTTATTTTCAGTTACATAATCATAACCTCAATAGCATCTCAGTTCCAACAGGTGAGGCTAATGACCCACTGCTTCACATGAAGAGTTGGCTCTTTCTAAGCAAGTCAAAAGAGATACTGAGGGTTTTGCTGAGTACATCTTGACAAAAATAACATAATGGTATTTCTTACATATATGAAATAAGTACACAGGAGAAAGCAAAGTGTGTGTGTTATATAATGATTGTCACAGACAGCTTGGTTTCCCAGGAGATGGTGGTCTCCTCCTGCTTATTCCAGTGCTTCTACTGTGAGCAAGATAGAAAACATGGTCTGACAGTGCAAGGCAGAGGTGTGCATGTTGAGTACATGATGTTCCTTGTGCAAAACAAACTGATTTTCAGGAGGGAGAGCGTTTCTGTCTGGAATTCATAGTAAATTTACCCTGCTGGGCTACGGTTAGGAGTACTTTAAGATTGTCCAATAGCTCTGCACATGTTTCAGAGAAAGCAATACAACGTTAAATACGTAAGCTACTTGTTTAATATTGTGGAAAATTGGTGTTTGCTATATAAATTGCCATATAATGACGTAACACAAACTGATAAATTCATAATTAAATCATTAAAAAAAGAAAAATCTCTCAACAAATGCTGAGAAAGCCGTTGCTAAGGGTATCATTCTGAATGTAGCCCTTTACTGTGAGCAGGTTATTCACCAAGAGTGTTAACATTTCTGAAACCTTAAGCTCAGTAAGAAATTGGAGTTCATTCATATTGAAGACCACAATGCTGTGAATTAACGTAGTTGCTGGCCAGTGCAGACCTAATGTTACCATGGGATTTTGAATTTTCATTAAAGTCAGCCTGATAATGTCAGCATATCCTCATCAAAAACTGAATTTCACAATTAAACGGGGAGTTTAGAGGAATAAGGCAGGAATGCAAATTGCACCTCAGTGAATTGCAAGTGCATTTGTGAGTCACAACCTAACAGTGTGTAAGAATGTTTCTGCGTGTACCATGGAGGGCAGGGTGGCAGAGTGTTTGTCTTAGGTGCATCATGGATAAAACTAAAACACCAGCAGCATACTGTTTCTCCTCCATCTTGAAATTCACGGGCATCCTCTTGTTTCCAACCCAATGACAGATTCAACCCTGAGAGGAGAAAGAGGATGAGATACTTAAAGATAAATTAAAATTCTACATTATATCATAGCAAACACGTCTCTCATTTTAATGTAATAGTTTGTGTCCATGAATGGGATAGATGCAATTAACAAAACTCAAACTAGACTGACTGTGGTGGCAGTGGCTGGTGGAGCGTTGTAGTTGAACAGGCCTTTGTAACGACCCTTTTCTTCCTTGTCTTTGGAGCGGATCCTCTCCTCCATGGCTCTCAGCTCTTTGGCTACAGATGGTCCCAGAGAAGGGTCCAGCTCCAACACTTTTGCAAAGTCTGCTCGTGCCTCTGTCTCGTTCCACACTGCAGCATGGGCCTTGGCCCGCTTGTAGAAGGCCTTCACATTATCTGTTCGGAAGGAGAGGGAGTAAATTAATGACAAATTATACACATTTAAGTTGAGAGCAAGACCAGGGACATGGCTATTCACAACATACTGTATATGAGGTGTGATGTTAACTTCCAGGATGATGAAAGTAAGTGCAAGTAAGACTTTTTTATAATAGTGCAGGTTTTGCGTTCTATAGGCCACATGGTACAACCAATACATTACAATACACTTGTATGGCAGACTCAAACAGTGACATAACTTAATTGCTGTATGAGAGAGAGGACAGACAAGTTATGGGACAATCAGATGTTTAGATTAAGTATATATAATATTAATCTAATATTAAAATATGCAGTAAATATGGTAACTCATGCATCAAAATACACTTACTTTTCATAGAGTATTTTACAGTCTTTACTACAAAACGGTGAAGTAAACTTCACTGGTTTTAATTTTGAATTGTGCTGTTGAAAACCAAGTTTTGGTATAAATTACGACAAGAGCTAGACTAGTTTTACAAATGCAAATACAGTATGTAACAACTGCTGCATGTCTAGAAAGTATGAAAAAGTAAAGGAAAAAGCAATGTAAAGTGTAACCAAATATCATGGGAAGGTATTGGGTTATCATCAGCCAACAGCTTCAGTGAACTCTACTGGAGGGATGAACACCATTCTTAGAAAAGACATTCCCTCATTTGGTGTATTGATGATGATGGTGGTGGAGAGCAAAATGAAGCAGCATACTCTTTCATATTTTCTTCACAAACTTTTTTTTTTTCAAATTTATACCAATTCCAAATAAACTTCTCCCTCTTTGAAACTACAAATAATTGTAATCTGTAGTAGCAACAGAAATCTTTCATCTCTGCTGGCACTTGTGCAGCACCAACAACCCAGCTTTACCTTCATATTTGAAGATCAAGGATGAGCAGTGTTCGATGACTTCGTAGTACTGGCCCTGTCGTAACTTGCACTGGCAGTAGTTGAGAAGCAGTGGTGTGATCATATGGTCCAACTTTACCCATGCTTCATCTCCAGGATGCTCCTGAAAGAAGAGAAAAAAGCCACAGAAGAGTTGGAGACACTTGACTGCATTGTGTTTGCAAATGTGCAATGGCATTTCATTAGTGTATTCATGTTTACTGTACTGAACAACAAAGGATTAGCTGTTCCCTAACCTTCATCTGTAGATTTTTTAGGCAGGCAATGCCATTGTAGTACTTGTCTGTGGCCTCCTTAATTTGGCCTTGTTTGAAGAGCATGTTGCCCTCCTCGTGGATCTGAGGCACAAACTCCAGTTTTTCTTCGTCTGTCATAGCCCACACATCCAGCTGGAATGACCCGGGAGGTAGAACCTGAGCAGGCAGAAAATGGAGCTCAGTGGCAGCTGCGCTTTCATTGTAGGACAGTAAAACTGTAGTAGCATGTAGCAGTTTCTTGTATGGTACATATATATTATTTAAAATGTTTTTTAAGGTGCACCTTTACAATCTAATGCAATTTATAAGCTTAGAAAACTTTGCTGAAACTGTGTCACAGAGTTGTTCACCTAGGACAATACCAATTTTTGAGACCATGATGGTGATCTCATATTGGACTGCATTATATTGAGAGGTGTATCCAATACTTTTTCACCCGTGTGTATGTAAATATCAGAAATACCTTTCATGTAATGCAAATGGGGCTGATAACAAAATTCAATACTTAGTTGGTATTGAGCTAAATGTGTCCGTAGATCAGAGTATCAGAATATGTCAGGTACCAAATGCTGGCATCACATTTTTGGTCATATTTGTAATCTTGTGAACTTGTTAAGTATCTATATAATTTACAGAAATACTTCCTAATCTATATCCATATTCTTTTTATTTAGACAAAGTTCTTGTACAGCTCCCTTCCTTTAGACAACATTTGACATTTTTTGCCTCTTTTGTTACATGAAAAAAACAGGTTTTGTACAAAAACAATAATATTTCTCAAAGTAAGTATTTGTATCAAAACTCAGGTTTTTTGTTTGTGCCATAACAGAAAAAATTCAAACGACGCTTCCCTGAATACCACCAGCTATATTAAACTCTTGGCTCTCCCCTGCCTGCTCACCTCCAGCAGCTCGATGCCGAAGACAAGAGGTTGTGGACTGGCCTGAAGCTGATCCAGGTCCTTGTGCCCCAGAGAGTGGTGGGAGTGGATCTGGGCAATGCCGCAGCAGTGCCTCTGGCCTTCCAGGGGGTCCTTACCAGCACTGATGTTTCTCAGTGACTGGGATACGAGTGGGTACAGTGCGGTGTGCTGAGGGGTGAGGAGAGAGATAGGGAAAAGTCAGCACTGAGGAGGAAGAAGATATTGACCCTGTCATGCCAGGTCTCACAAACCTTGGTGTCGCAGGTAAATTCTGCAATTTCGCCTTGTCTCATGGTGATGACCACTCTCTCCCACACAGCTAGTTTGAACTTCTTGCCCAAGATGAGCTCCATGGGTTTGCTGCGGGCCCCCATGTTTCTGGAGTCATCCAGCACTGTACCATCACAGAGGCTGGTGCGGTAGTGGAAGACCACCTGGTAAAGCAGATATTGGAGATGAAAATCAAACATTGCTCAAAAGAACTATCCGGTTAAAATGCGCATTGTGGCACCGCCCCTTCGAGAACACTCAATCGATGCAGCTGATTGCTTGTTTACTTGAGACAAAACAGCAATCACCACTTCTCAGACAGGTCTAGAGAACGTCTACACGCCAGCATATTCTGACCGACCACAGAAGCAGATATTTGATTGACATAGTATGCTGACGAATCAGAAACCATAAACACATGTCATCCTGTCCCGCCCCCTGTCTTTCCATCAGATGAAAAAAAGAGAAAAAATTTAACCTGGCTAAAACAACAGTCATAATCAAATCTAACCTTAAAATCACAATAAAAGCAATGTAGCTCAGACGCGTATCAGCGGCGTCTGTATACAAGCACAACGTTTTTATAGCAACATTAATCGGTAAATGACAGCTTGTGTTAGCTAAGATACAACTGGTGATAGCATTAGCTAACGTGCTTCGTCGTATATCTTAAACTAACCCAGAGGGTGAGACTAAACCCTCTAAATCGTTGACGCTGTGTTTTACCTTGGTTCCATTGGGGAAGGTGGACAGCTCTCCTTTACCAGGACTGACCAATTTCTTTCTTATTCCTTCTTCGAGGAGCTTGCGTGCTTCTTCCTCCATCCTACACCGAGTCGCAGTTCACGACAGATGACGGTGTTTGCCGAAGCTAGTCGCTTCGTGAGACGTCACTTCAGGCCTCAGAGCGCCATCTACGCATAGACTGTTTAAGTGTAAATACAGTAGAAGCTGGGGACCGCGACTCATTTTTCAATAACAGAAACCATTTTTTAAATTAAACTAACTTGCATAATAATTCACGGGAATTTACATAATACATCACGTCTTTGGTGAGGCACACTACATCACCAGTAGTAGAATGTTATTCAAGTACTGTATCTTACTTTTAAGTACAAATTAGGAGTACATGTATTATATCAAGCGACAAGTTTAATTTTCAAGGTTCATGTCCATTTTCATACAGTGTAATTTGCTCTTAGTTTGTTTACACACTGAGGTGTTAACTCATTAGAAAACCAGCAGATGGTAATTAACAATACTCTGGGTGAATACTTGTTGCTATGGAGGTAGATTTGTTTAAATATTATTTCTGTGAACAGATCGACAATCTGGGCGTAAATGTGTAATCTGTAAATATGAAACAAATACATACCACAAATACAAAAATAAATTTGCAAATTCACAAAAATATCTTTCAAATATAAAACAGATTTGAAGTTACACAAACAAATTCCACAGATTATCTGTAAATACGTTTAATTAATTTACAAATAGGCTAAATGAAAATACTTTTTTTTAGCCTTACTATACAGTGACATTTTATGCCTTCATTTGCTATGACGTTTTAACATTTTATGCCTTACTATGCTATGATGTTTTTTGCCTTACTATACTGTGATGTTTTTATGACGTTTTATGCCTTACTATGCTATGACATTTTTGGGCATTTTTATGCCTTTCTACACTATGTTGTTGTATTCCTTGCCATACTATGACATTTTTATGACCTTTTATGCCTTAATATGCTATGATGTTTTTTTGATGTTTTATGCCATACTATACTATGACATTTTCCAAATTTTTATGCCATACTATACTATGACTTTTCCTGGCATTTTTATGCATTACTATACTATGTCCACCAGAGTGGAACTGCAGACTGAGGTCGAATGAAGAGGGTGCATGCACTTTATAGAGAAGGGAATACAGGAGGCGTTTTTATGCAATAATATAAAATTAGGTTTTTTGGCATTTTTATGCCTTAATATACTATGTTGTTGTATTCCTTACCATACTATGATGTTTTTATGACCTTTTATACCTTAATATACTATGACGTTTTTTGACATTTTTTAACCACACTATATTATGAGGTTTTTTGGTTTTTTTATACCTAACTATACTATATTGTTTTATGCCTTATTATACAATGATGATTTAATGATGTTTTATGTCTTACTATTATGATGGAAATCTGAAAATAAAAAGTTGAAAAAAATAATCAAGTTGTGTTTGGGTCTTTTAATACCGTCTATGCATAAGATCAGGCTACAGTCCCACGACAGTGTAACTGCAAACTGAGATCAAATAGAGAGTATCCATGCACTTTATAGAGAAAGGAATAAAGGCTTTTTTATTCCATACTATAATGTGAGGTTTTTTGACATTTTTTATGCCTTACTTTACTATGAGGTTTTTTGCCATTTGTATGCCTTACCATAGTATGTCGTTGTATTCCTTGCCATACTATGATGTTTTTATGCCCTTTTATGCCTTAATATACTATGAAGTTATTTGGACATTTTATGCCACACTATAGTATGACATTTCTTGGCATTTTTATACCATACTATACTATGATGTTTTTTGGCACCTTTATACCTTACTACAATATGTCGTTTCATGCCATACCATACTATGACGTTTTTATGACCTTTTATGCCATAATATATTATGAGATTTTTTGACATTTTATGCCATACTATACTATGACGTTTTTTGGCATTTTCATGCCATACTAAACTATGAGATTTTTTGACATTTTTATGCCTAATATACTATGTCGTTGTTTTCCTTGCCATATTATGATGTTTTTATGACCTTTTATGCCTTAATATACTATGATGTTTTTTGGATGTTTTATGCCACACTATACTATGACATTTTGCAAATTTTTATGCCATACTATAGTATGACTTTTCTTGGCATTTTTATGCCTTACTATACTATGTTGTCTAATGTCTTACCATACAATGAGGTTTTTAAGACTTTTTATTCCTTAATATACTATGATGTGTTTTTGACATTTTGTGCCATACTAAACTATGAAATTTTTTGACATTTCTATGCCTTAACATACTATGTTGTTGTATTCCTTGCCATTCTATGACATTTTTATGACCTTTTATGCCTAAATATACAATGATTTTTTTTTATGTTTTATGCCATACTATACTATGATGTTTTTTAACATTTTTATAGCATACTATAGTATGACTTTTCTTAGCATTTTTATGCCTTACTATACTGTGTTGTCTTATGTCTTAGTATACTATGAGGTTTTTAAGAACTTTTATACCTTAATATACTATGATGTGTTTTTGATATCTTGTGCCATATTATACTATTGCGTTTTTTAAAATTTTTATACCTTTCTGCACTATGTCATTGTATTCCTTGCCATACTATGACATTTTTATGACCTTTTATGCCTTAATATACTATTACGTTTTTTAACATTTTTATGCCATACTATACTATGATGTTTCTTGGCATTTTTATACCTTTCTACACTATGTCATTGTATTCCTTGGCATACTATGACGTTTTTTTTTAACATTTTTTTGCCATACTATAGTATGACATTTCTTGGCATTTTTATGCCTTACTATACTATGTCGTCTAATGTCTTACCATACAATGAGGTTTTTAAGACTTTTTATGCCTTAATATGCTATGATGTGTTTTTGACATTTTATGCCATACTGTGCTATTGCATTTTTTGAAATTTTTATACCTTTCTACACTATGACATGGTATTCCTTGCCATACTATGACATTTTTTTACCATTTTTTAGCCCCACTATACTATGACGTTTTTTGGCATTTTTCTGCCATACTATACTATGATGTTTCTTGGCATTTTTATACCTTTCTACACTATGACATGGTATTCCTTGCCATACTATGACATTTTTATGACGTTTTATGCCATAATATACCATGATGTTTTTTTGAAATTTTATGCCATACTATACTATGACGTTTTTTTTTGCATTTTTCTGCCATACTAAACTATGAAATTTTTTGACATTTCTATGCCTTAACATACTATGTTGTTGTATTCCTTGCCATACTATNCTATACTATGTCGTCTAATGTCTTACCATACAATGAGGTTTTTAAGACTTTTTATGCCTTAATATGCTATGATGTGTTTTTGACATTTTATGCCATACTGTGCTATTGCATTTTTTGAAATTTTTATACCTTTCTACATTATGTCGTTGTATTCCTTGCCATACTATGACATTTTTATGACCTTTTATGCAATAATATACCACGATGTTTTTTTGACGTTTTATGCCATACTATACTATGATGTTTTTTGACATTTTGTGCCATACTATACTATGATGTTTCTTGGCATTTTTATACCTTTCTACACTATGACATGGTATTCCTTGCCATACTATGACATTTTTATGACGTTTTATGCCATAATATACCATGATGTTTTTTTGAAATTTTATGCCATACTATACTATGACGTTTTTTTTTGCATTTTTCTGCCATACTAAACTATGAAATTTTTTGACATTTCTATGCCTTAACATACTATGTTGTTGTATTCCTTGCCATACTATGACATTTTTATGACCTTTTATGCCTTAATATACTATGTTTTTTTTAATGTTTTGTGCCATACTATATATACTATGACGTTTTTTAACATTTTTTTGCGATACTATAGTATGACTTTTCTTGGCATTTTTATGCCTTATGCATATGACTTTATGCCACCTTTCGACACTATGTCATTGTATTCCTTGCCATACTATGACATTTTTATGACCTTTTATGCCATAATATACCATGATGTTTTTTTGACGTTTTATGCCATACTATGACTATGACTATGACGTTTTTTAACATTTTTATGCCATACTGGAGTAGGACTTTTCTTGGCATTTTTATGCCTTTCTGTACTATGTCGTTTTACTCCTTTCCATACTATGACGTTTTTATGACCTTTTATGTCATAATATACTATGATGTTTTTTGACATTTTGTGCCATACTATACTATGATGTTTTTTTTTGCATTTTTCTGCCATACTAAACTATGAAATTTTTTGACATTTCTATGCCTTAACATACTATGTTGTTGTATTCCTTGCCATACTATGACATTTTTATGACCTTTTATGCCTTAATATACTATGTTTTTTTTAATGATTTGTGCCATACTATACTATGACGTTTTTTAACATTTTTTTGCGATACTATAGTATGACTTTTCTTGGCATTTTTATGCCTTACTATACTATGTTGTCTTATGTCTTAGCATACTATGAGGTTTTTAAGACCTTTTATACCTAAATATACTATGATGTGTTTTTGATATTTTGTGCCATACTATACTATTGCTTTTTTTGAAATTTTTATACCTTTCGACACTATGTCATTGTATTCCTTGCCATACTATGACATTTTTATGACCTTTTATGCCATAATATACCATGATGTTTTTTTGACGTTTTATGCCATACTATGACTATGACTATGACGTTTTTTAACATTTTTATGCCATACTGTAGTAGGACTTTTCTTGGCATTTTTATGCCTTTCTGTACTATGTCGTTTTACTCCTTTCCATACTATGACATTTTTATGACCTTTTATGCCATAATATACTATGATGTTTTTTGTACATTTTTATGCCATACTATACTATGACGTTTTTTTTGCATTTTTCTGCCATACTAAACTATGACATTTTTTGACATTTCTATGCTATAACATACTATGTCTTTGTATTCCTTGACATACTATGACATTTTTATGACCTTTTATGCCTTAATATACTATGACGTTTTTTTTGCATTATTATGCCATACTATACTATGATGTTTTTTGCCATTTTGT